CATTCATACAACAAGGACATATGTTCAACTGTGTTCACAACAGGGTTTGTAATAGCCAGAACCTGGAAGCAACTGAGATGCCCCTCAGCTGAAGAATGGATGAATAAAATGTGGTACATTTACATAATGGAGTACCACTCAGAGGAAAAAAAACAATGGGATCTTGAAATTCTCAGGCAAATAGATGGAAGTAGAAGAAACCTTCTTGAGTGAGGTAACCCAGTCACAAAAGACAAACATGGCATGTGCTCACTCATATATGTATTTTTGACAGAGAGCAAATGATCCCCAGCCTATAATCCATACTGCCAGAGGAGCTAGGAAACAAGGAGGACCCCAAGAGAAGAACACATGGTCCCCCAAAGAAGGGGAGGGGACAAGAACCCCTGAGCCGGTTGGGAGCATGGGGCGGGGGAGGGAGAAGAAGGAGGTGGGAATGGGAGAGTGGGAGAAGGAGAAAGGGGGAGGAGAACAGTATTACTGAGACAGGGGAGGAATAGAGGAGGTCAAGAAAGGAGATGCCTTGAGAGAGGGAGACAGTACAGGTTTGCAGAGAGGTTTGACACAGGGGAAGTGTTAGGGGATCCACAGGGATCACACGAACTAATAATTTAGGCAGTGGCAGAGAGGCTGCCTTTGATGTCCTTCCCTTGTAGTAAGATTGATGACTACCTTAGTACCATTCCTACAGCCATCACCGAGTATCTGATTGAAGCAGAAACAGGCACCTACAGCTAAACACTGAGCCAAACTATACTCCTGGAGTCAAGACTCTGCTGGAGAAATCTGCAGAAACAGCACAGGACATCAAGGCAGCCTATGGAACCTCTAAGAGTGAAACCAGTGTTTATCCCTAGAGCACAAATAGACTTTGGGAGCCCATTCCCTATGGAGGGATACTATTGCAGCTCAGATATGGGAAAGAGGGCCTGGGCCCTCTCCAAATGATGTGATAGTCTTTGATCATCCCTGGTGAGTTGTTTGGTGGTGGGTTGTGGGGTCTGTAGGGAGTATGCGAAGATGGGAAGGTGAGGGAATGGGGGGATGGATATCTAACTTAGAGTTCTTCTAAAATAAATAAAATATGTCAAAAATTCTTTTTTCCCTCTATCTTATTAAACCTGATTGTTTGTCTCTTTTCTTTTCTTTCTTTCTTTTTTTTTTTTTTTTTGGTTTTTTGAGAAAGGGTTTCTTTTGTTAGCTTTTGTAGTCTATCCTGGCACTCACTCTGGAGACCAGGGTGGCCTCAAGCTCACAGAGATCTACCTGCCTCTGCCTCCCTAGTGATTGTTTCTCTTTTTGAGAAGTATTACAATGCAAAATATGGTGGTGTTATAAGATGCAAAATATTAGTTGAGGCAGGAGAGATAGGTTAGTGGTTAAGAACCTTTCCTGCTCTCACAGAGGACCTGGGTTCACAACAATTAAGCTTTTCTGAGATGATTTGCATATTGTGACATTAGCCACAGTGCAGTTTCCTCAAACCATCTTTCAAGGCAGCTTGCCAGTGCCTAAGAAGCAGCCTCTCTCTGTTTCAGATATCAGAGATGGGATCAGCTGCTCTCTTGTTGTGGGTACTGCTGCTCTGGGTTCCAGGTGAGAGGATGCAGTGTTGGGAGTATCTATTGTAGCCACCATTGTTTTTTATGCTTTGATGTCATGATCATTAAAATTATTGCACTTCATTAGTTTTAATTTTTCTTTTATTTTATAACTCCTCAGAATTTAGCTCATGAGTACTGTTGCAGATTCCTCATTCATGATAGTTTTACACTGGCCTGCTTTCAGTATACATGTGACAGGAATATGTGTTCCTCATTCCAGGTTCCACTGGGCACAATGTGTTGATTGAGTATCCAGCTTTTTGATCTTGTTTCTAGGGTACAGGGCCATCATCTCCTTCAAGGCCAGCCAGAGAGTCACTATGGGACCTATTGATTTTATAACCATCTACAGAGCATCCAACCTAGCATCTGTGGTCCCTGCCAGGTTCAGTGGCAGTGGGTCTGGGACAGACTTCACTTTCACCATCCACCCTGTTGAGGCTGATGATGTTGCAACCTATTACTGTCAGCAAGGTCTATCAGTTCCTCTCAGTGCTCCAGGGCTAAACCAAAGCATCCTGGGGTTGCTGTTCACTGAAGCTCAGTCTCTAAGTGTTTCTAGCCAGACACCACAACCATGTGATTCTACCAATATTTTTGTAAAGAGGGTGAATCTGTGAAACAGAATTCTCAAAGTAATTGTGCTTGTCCTATTGCGCATGCTTTACAAATTAACTGTTTGCTTACTTAATAAAGACCTACCTGATACTATTTTCAAGGCTCTTTCAATGTTCAATAAACTGAGTAGACAGGCTTCAACTTTACAGCTTCATGCAGTGGCCTCTCTGGGGCTTCATTCAGGGACACCCCTAATACATGCCTGGCCTCAGCAGCTTTCCTTAGTCTCAGAAGAATATTCTATAAACTTTGTCTTGTGTCCTTGATTCTAAAGCCAGAACCACATGGCCAAATTCTGCTGCTTTCTGGGGCAAAAACAGAACCCCCTCATTGAGTTACATCTCCACCAGCTTTCTGCTTTCCATGGTTTCTTTCACTGTCTAAGCTTGGCTGTCCTGGAACTTGCTCTGTAGATCAGACTGGCCTCAAGATCAGAGATCAGCCAGCACCTGCTTTCCCAGTGCTGGGATTTAAGGTTGTACAACCACACCTGGCTCTAAGTTTTTCTTTAATTCCTTTCACAAGTTGGAAATTTAGCTGGGTAAAAGCTTGCCCTGAGGTCACTACTCCTTATATTCCATTTCTTAATCTGTTCATCTCCTTGAACACAGGACTTAACTACATTTCACTTCTGGTTGCTCCTCATATTAGTCTACAATGTGCATTTTGTCTTGTTCACCTTGCTCCATTTCATTATGTATCTTCCTTAGAGTTACCATTAAAAAGCACATGGCAGATTCTATATAATGCTGTTTTGTGTATATATATGTTTATATTTATATAAAAAGATCAATAATAGAATAATAGCAATATGTTATGCATCAATGGCAACAACAGCTTTTCCAGGTTCTGCAGTCATTTGAACAAAATTGTAGAGACATCCAGCACACTCCACTTAAAAAAAACAAAACAACAAAAAAGGAAAAAACAAAATCCCAGAAAACAGCACAGTTCTGTTACTCTTGTGGTACCGAGCACCATTTTTTTTTTTTAAATTAGCTTCTCAATCATCATCTGGAAGGAAACCATCCTGAGAAACATCATTAAAAACAGCTCTGATAAAGCATGGTCACTACTATGTATCATCAAGCAGGTCCACATATGAGTGAGTACATATCATGTTTGTCTTTTGTGATTGGGTTACCATGCTCAGAATGGTTTCTTCGAGTACCATCCATTTTCCTGAAAATTTCAAGATTCCATTGTTTTTTTCTGATGAGTAGTACTCCATTGTGTAAATGTACCATATTTTCTCTATCCATTCTTCAATTGAGGGGCATCTAGGCCACCCCCAGTTTCTGGCTATTACAAATAATCCTGCTATGAACATTGTTGAACAGATGAACTTGTTATATGAATGTGCTTCTTTTTGGTATATGCCTAGGAGTGGAATTGCTGGGTCCTGTGGTAGACTCATTCCCATTTTCTTGAAGAGTCCCCATACTGATTTCCACAGTGGCTGTACAAGTTGGCACTCCCACCAGGAGTGGAGGAGGGGTCCTCTTTCTCCATATCCTCTCCAGCATAAACTGTCATTGGTATTTTTGATTTTAGCCATTCTGACAGGAGTAAGATAGTATCTCAGAGTTGTTTTGATTTTCGTTTCCCTGATGGCTAAGGATGTTGAACACTTTCTTATGTGTCTTTCAGCCATTTTAGATTCCTCTATTGAGAATTGTCTACTTAGTTCTGTACCCCAATTTTTAATTGGATTGTTTGGTGTTTTGGAGACTAGTTTCTTGAGTTCTTTGCATATTTTGTAGATCAGCCCTCTGTCAGATGTGGGGTTGGTGAATATCTTTTCCCATTCTGTGGGCTGTGGTTTTGTCTTGTTGGCTATGTCCTTTGCCTTACAGAAGCTTCTCAGTTTCAGGAGGTCCCATTTATTAATTGTTGATCTCACTGTCTTTGCTACTGGTGTTAAGTTCAGGAAGTGGTCTCCTGTACCAATTAATTGAAGGGTATTTTCCACTTTATCTTCTAGTAGGTTCAGTGAGGCTGGGTTTATGTTGATCTTTGATCCCTTTTGACTTAAGTTTTGTGCAGGGCAAAAGGCTTGGGTATATCTGTAGTCTTCTACATGTTTGCATCCAGTTATGCCAGCACCATTTGTGGAAAATATTCTCTTTGTTCCAGTGTATGAATTTGGATTGTTTGTCAAAATTCAGGTGTTCGAAGGTGTGTGGGTGAATATCACAGTTTTCAACTCTATTCCATTGGTCTACATGTCTATTTTTGTGCCAGTGCCAAGATGCTTTCAGGACTATAGCTCTGTATTAGAGCTTAAATTTAGGGATGGTGATGCCTCCAGAAGTTCCTCCTTTGTACAGGGTTGTTTTGGTTATCCTGGGTCTTTTGTTTCTCCATATAAAGTTGAGAATTGTTCTTTCAAGGTCAGTGAAGAATTGTGTTGGGATTTTGATGGGGATTTCATTGAATCTGTAGATTGGTTTTGGCAAGATTGCCATTTTTACTATGTTGATCCTACCTATCCAAGAGCATGGGAGATCTTACCATTTTTGGGTATCTTCTTTAATTTCTTTCTTTAGAGACTCAAAATTCTTATGCTACAGGTCTTTCACTTTTTTGGTTAGTGTTACTCCAAGGTATTTTATGTTGTTGTGGCAATTGTAAAGGGTGATGCTTCTCTAATTTCTTTCTCCACTAATATGTCATAGGTATATAGTAGGGCTACAGATTTTTTTGAGTTAATCTTGGGTCCTGCTACTTTCCTGAAGGTATTTATCAGCTGTAGGAGTTCCCTGGTAGAGTTTTTCTGTTCACTTATGTAGACTATCATTTCATCTGCAAATAGTGAGAGTTTGACTTTTTCCTTTCTGATTTGTATTCCCTTGATCTCCTTTTGTTGTCTTGTTGCTCTAGCTAGGACTTCAAGGACAATTTTGAAGAGGTATGGAATGAGTGGACAGCCTTGTCTTGTCCTGATTTTAGAGGAAATGCATTGAGCTTCTCACCATTTAATTTGATTTTGGCTGTTGGTTTGTTTTATGTTGCTTTTATTAGGTTGAGGTATGTTCCTGTTATCCCTGATTTCTCCAAGACCTTTATCATGAAGGGGTGTTGGATTTTGTCAAAGGCTTTTTTGGCATCTAGTAAAATGATCATGTGATTTTTTTCCTCAGTCTGTATATATGGTGGATTACATTGATGGATTTTCATATGTAGAAACATCCTTGCATCCCTCAGATGAAGCCTATTTGATCTGGATGGATGATTTCTCTGATGTGTTCTTGGACTCGATTTGCCAATATTTTATTGAGAATTTTTGCATCAATGTTCATGAGGGATATTGGTCTGTAGTTCTCTTTCTTAGTTGTGTCTTTGTATGGCTTGAGTATCAAGGTTATTCAAGCCTCATAAAAAGAGTTTGATAATGTCCTGCTTCTATAGTGTGGAATACTTTGAGCATTGGTATTAGCTGTAATTTGAATTTCTGGTAGAATTCTGCACTGAAGCCATCTGTCCCTGGGCTTTTTTTTGGTTGGGAGACTTCTAATGACTGCTTCAATTTCATTAGAGGTCATAGGTCTACTTATGTTGCTTATCTGTTCTTGATTTAATTTTGGAAAGTGAAATCTGTCCATAGAATTGTACATTTCCTTTAGATTTTCAAATTTTGAGGAATAGAGGTTTTCAAAGTATGACCTGATGATTCTCTGGATTTCCTCTGTGTCTGTTGTTATGTCCCCCTTTTCATTCCTGATTTTATTACATTGCATTTTCACTCTTTGCTGTTTGGTAAGTTTGGATAAAGGTTTGTCTATCTTGTTGATTTTCTCAAAGAACCAACTTTTTGTTATATTGATTCTTTGTATTGTTCTCCTAGTTTCCATTTTATTGATTTCATCCCTCATTTTGATTATTTCCTGGCATCTGGAAACAGTTCCTGGCCTACCTGGGCCAGTGGATGGAGGCCGGGCTGGCCTGGGTGTTCCATGTTCGGAACCCTCCACCGCCGAACTTGCTCTGGCACCCAGGTTGCTTGCCTCAGATCACAATGCTGTTTTTTAGATTGCCTCTGTCAATGGATTTATTCCAAATCTATCTCTTCAGCCTCAGACAAACTTTTTGGGACAATGGCAAGAAGCAGCCACATTCTTCATCAAAATTTCACAAGAAAATCTCTAGGTAACAAACTAAAATTCTTCTGTGAAACCCCTGGAAGCAGCGCCTCTACAGATCAAATCCAGAAAAATCTAGGATCTACAAATTAGACTTAAGGTGTGACAGCTTCCCTTTCCCCCTCCCCCACACAAAACCTTTATGTGTATCTTCAAAAGCACTTCTGCTTTCTTCTTTCTTTATGGCCTGCATTCTACTCTGTTGTTTCCACATTGTCCTTTGAACTTTGAATACTGAGAAACCTCACTTTATCCTCATTGAGGGATATAATTTTGTGTCACCATGACATCTCTTCTATCCTTTATATCTTATCATAATGAATAGAATTTAGGACTTGTGGATGGGAAAACAATTTGCCAATTGAAATATTGTGATGTCTTATGCAATTCATGTATCTAATAAAAAGTATTTGATTAGTCACAGTAGAACACAGAGCTTCATTAGGGACAAAGTCTTATAGACCACAATAGATAGTCTCAAACCCAAGAATCTCAGAAATGTTTGGGCAGGAATAAACCTGTTTTATAGTTAATGTTCTATTCTGTGAAGAAATTCCTTGACCAACACAACTCATATAAAGGGAAGTTATTGGGTGTTTGCAATTGTCCTTGGTTGCCCCCCAGAGTTTGAAAGTAAGTAATACTCTATTACTTTTATTTTTATTTTTTTTTAATTTAGAAGCACTCTTATTTACATATTAATCCCCCATTCCCTGGCCCTCCCATCTTCCCTTGCTCCCCACTTACCCCCCAACCCATACCTTACCCATTCCCCAGGGATAGTGAGACCCTCCATGGGAACCATCAAAGTCTATCACATCATTTGGGGGGAGGGCCTAGGCCCTCCTTCCTGTATCTGGGCTGCAGTTGTATTCCTCCATAGGGAACTGGCTCCCAAAGTCCATTTGTGCTCTAGGGATAAACACTGGCTCCACTGTTAGATACCCATAGACTGCCCTGGCCTCCTAGCTTGTACCCATATTCAGAGGGCTTGGTCAACTTTACGACTCGGGTCTCCTTGCTCTCACTACATCAGGTCAACTATTTCTGCAGGTTTCTCCAGCACAGTGTTGGCTCCTTATGGGGCCTCTGTGCATGTGTGTACTCTGGCTGTGTGAGAGTAGCATGCTTCAATGATGGGAACACTCTGTTTCTAAAGACACTACACATTTTGTTCAAAGGAATTTGAAGAATCTGTCAGGATCTGACTTGGAAGACTCCTCCATGAGAACTAGATCACCCACTACTACAAGGTTCTATATAAGCTGCCCCATGAGAAAAATATTCAACATATGTTCCTGACTCTAAAGCCCATGAATCACAGCAATGTCTAACTCAGAATGACATCCTCAGTGATTCAGTAGTAGCCCTTTTGTAATTGGTGCAAGCAAAAGTGGCCTCTTTTATTTTAAAATTTGCTCAGTGGGAAGGTATTCATGCCTGGTACTGTTAAGTAAGGCAAGTATTTGTGCTAGGAGTTTTCATAGACCTTAGAAGAGAATTCACAGTGGCCATTTTCCTCATCCAATGTAAGTACTATGTGTATTCTAAAAAATTATGCCTGTAACCTCAAATAACTGAAGCTCTCACTCTTCATCAAAGAATCTTCTCTTTTAAATAGGAAGTATTACAAAGATATATAACTATTCAAAATGCAGAGCATAAGTGACCATGACATGGCCAGCCTCAATCTACAACACAACATCTGAGTTTCTAATAGGTTTTCTAGTCTCCAGTGGTCAGCCTAAAGAAATTCACATAAGAACAACACTAAGAAAACTCATTAGTGTGTCGTGTGAGTGTGTGTTTGTGTGTGTGTGTGTGTGTGTGTGTGTGTGTGTGTGTGTGTGTGCAAATAGTAATTAAAGAAGAAATCACTAATTGAAGGAAGTTGGGGCATAGAGGAGGAGTTGAAACAGAAAGGCATGGGGTGAAAATGATGTACATGTACTACTGATGTATCAATTTCTGAAAAAATTAAATATGTCTTTTTATCACTATTTATTACTTTTATTTTATTCATTAACTTGTGTATTTGTCCACCCTTCCAGCTTAAAACCAATGTCTAGTTGTTATCAGTTCTTACACCTCCCATGCAAGCACCTTTCTAATGTATGCCCACAGAGCTGTAATACTCCAATACTCCTTCAGTGACCACCATCAGATTCTAACAACACTGCATTGACACCTACCTGACCCAGTCAGAGAAACTCCCACCTAGATTACTTTTATGCAGGAAATTCATCCTTCCTCTAGGAGAATACTCTGAGGTCCCTCTGAACCACTCTTCCACTTTCCCTTTAAAAGAAGGAGAATCAGCCATCCAAGATACTGAGAGGTATCAAGAAAATAAATGAGTCTATGAATCTTTTGGCACATCTGAGATAGTGTCATAGCAAATGATCATGTCCTAAATACAACTGAACCAATAACATAATGTGATGAAACATGGAATATTCAAAATAACATACACCTCTCGAGACTCAGGATTCCTTTGGTCCCTTTTTCCACAGAGAAACACAAATTCTTTCTATAAAAATGTTCTCATGCTGAAGAGGAAGGGGTCTGTACCAGGTTGGAGAAACCCACAGGAACAGTTGGCCTGAACAAGGGAGAGCACATCGACCCCAGATGCTGTCTGGGAGGCCAGTACAAGACTGACCCAGACCCTTGAACATGGATGTCAATAAGGAGGCCTCTGCATTTCAGGGAGCTTCTGGTGGTGGATTAGTATTTTTCCCTGGTGCAAGAAGGGACTTTGAGAGCCCATCCCACGTGAAGGGTTACACTATGGCCCTGGATACATTGGGAAGGGTCCAGGACCAGCACAGGAAGATTTGGTGGACTTTGCAGAGCCCCTGTTGAGGGCCCTACCCTACCTGGGGAGTGGTGGGTGGATGAAGTGGGGGGTAGGTTGGGGGTGGGGAAGGAGAGATGGGGGGAGGGAAGGGGGAGGGAGAAGGGACTTACATGTGAAACAAGCTTGTTCCCTAACTTGAACTAATAAAAACAATTAAATAACTCAATAAATAAATAAATAAATAAATAAATAAATGGAAAGAAGGTCAAATGTCTGGTTTTATCAACTGTAGGACTCAGACTATATTCTGATGATTATAATCAACTAGAATTTTAAAAACCCCTTATACTTATCTTTCGTTAGTCTCGTTAGTAATTATTACAGCGATAACAGACATAAGACTAATACTTCTAGGAACATTCTTGTACAAGTTTTAGTGTGGAAATGCTTTCAGTTCTTTCAGGTGGATTTCCAAAAGTGGAACTGCTATCAAGTATGTCCAACCTGTGGCCCATGGACCCCTAGTGTCCCAAGATAGCTGAGAGTGGCCCAAAATACTGTTAGATAATATCATCTTGTAATGATGGGGGGTGTCCTTCTGTATGCTGTGAATATATGTTTCTCTTATTGGTTGGTGAATAAATGTTGATTGGTCAGTAGCCAGGCAGGAAGTATAGGCAGGGCTACCAGACTAGGAATGCTGAGAAGAGGAACACACACACACACACACACACACACACACACACACACACACACACCAGAGAGAGAGAGACAGAGAAAGAGAGAGACAGAGAGAGAGACAGAGACAGAGAGAGTCAAAGGAGATGCCATGTAGCTGCTGAAGGAGTAACAGAGCAAAACATCCACAGCCTCGTGGCAAATCATAGTTTAATAGAAATGGGTTAATAAGAGAGCTAGCCAATAAGAAGCCTGAGCCATGGGCCAAACACTTTATACTTACTATAAACCTCTGTGTGTTTATTTGCAACTAAACGGCTGATGGACCAGGAAGGAAAAAAGAACCGTCATCAGTTTGGGGCCAGTAAAATGGTTCAGCAGGTAAAGGTGCTTGTTGCCAAGCCTGAGGCCTGAGTTCAGTCTCCAGAACCCACAGCATGAGAACTGACACCTACAGGTTGGCCTCTGGCTTCCCACGTGTGCTGTGACACAGGTATGCACATACATAAATAAATGGAATTTTAAAAAGAAAAGCCTTCTAACTTGAAAGTCCTAAGAGGTAACATGTAAAGTAAAACACTTGGCCATCCTGGTAGATGTTTTCCAAACAGGCTACACCCTTTTGTCCTCCACTGGCAGTGCACTAGGAATCTTAACTATCAATACTTCAAGGAAAACCAAACCTCAGGGCTCTCAGTGGAACTGACGTCATTACATGTGTCCACCTGGCAGACTGTACCTGAGCACTTTGGTCTCAGGATTCCCTGAGTTCTTATCTAGTGGCAGATAATTACAGAATTGTGAACTGTTGGCTGAAGCTGTTGTAATTTAAGAAAAGAGGTGCATGAGAGAAAGACACCATGCAACAGGGTTCAAGCAGAGGGGTTTTTTCATTAGGGAAAGGGATAATTTTACAATTCATTCCCACCCTCCTTCTCCCCTGTCTCCTCCCCAACCTAACTCCATCCATTCCTCAGACAGAGTAAGGCCTCCCATAGGGAATCAAAAATCTGTCATGTCAGTTTAGGTAGAACCAAGGACCTCCCCTCTGTATCTAGGCTGAACAAGTTATCCCACCATAGAAAATGGGCTCCAAAAATCCAGTTCATCTACTAGGGAAAAATACCAGTTCCACTTCTAGTGGCTATGTAAAGTTCCCAAGCTCCCCAGTTGTCACCCACATTTAGAGGGTCAAGTTCAGTGTTATTCAGGTTCTCTGGCTGTCAATCTGGAATCAGTGAGCTCCCACTTGTCTAGGTCAGCTATTTCTGTTGGTTTCCCCATCATGATCTGCTCTTAATATTACCTATTGTCTGCTCCTCCTTATCACCACTTTTTTGGAAGCCCATTTCCCAGATATTCTTTGTCTTGTCTGTGTCCTTCAACTATGGGCCCTACTTTACAGTATGAGATTAAGAGTAGAATGAGTCAATATCCATATCTAAGTATATGCATAAAGATGCTGGCAGAAATGAGGATTGGAGCACAACCAGAAAAGGACTGTGGGGACCAAAGGACATTAAGACCCCATTCCTAAGCTTCGTGGACATCTGAAGACAAGAGACCTAACATAGATAGCTGAATGAGAACTAAGGAATCTCCTATTAGAGATATAGACTTTCTTGAAATAATAGGTTCCTTTATAATTAATTACTTTTGTATGGCTGATTCTAAAATTCCCATTAGATGTAGTTTAAGATAATCCCAGCACCCAGGAGGCAGAGGCAGACATATGTTTGTGAGTTCAAAACCAGCATGGTCTATAGAGTGAGTTCCAGGACAGCCAGGACTACACAGGGAAACCCTATCTTGAGAAATAGTTTAAGAAATAAAGGTTAGTTTTAGTTCATGTTTTCAAATGATTCAGCCCATCATATAATCCAAATACAAAGTATGAAATTCTTAGCACATATGTACTAATCACAGGTACACTCAATTTCATAAAAGTGATATTATTTGTTCTAAAAGCATAGATAAACTATAATATAATCATAGTAGATTACTTTAATGACCTATTTTCACCAGTAACAGGTCTTTTGGGCGAAAATAAGCAGAGAAATACCAGAGTTAAATGAAAGCTTAAATCAAATTGACCTTACACACAATCAAGAAGAACATTTTGTTGTATAGTAATGAATACACTTTCTTCTTAGTACCCCATGAAAAATTCTCTCAAAAGCAGGTCTCAACAAAAATAGGCAAATTAAGTTAACACTATGTATTTTATATCACCACAAGAAAATAAAACTGGATACAAAGAACAATAGAAAGCATAAAATGTCCATAGTCTCATAGGAACTATGCAACACAGTAGTTAATTATTGTTGATTCAAGGAAGAAATCAAGAAAAAAATTAAATTCCTAGAATGAAATGAAATAAAATACAGAAACTCACCAACAAGCCATGTCTCTGATATCCTTCTCCTCAGATTAATTCAGTGAGTCTCCCTGTCCCCTTCTGTTACACACCTTCCCCGATTTACCAGTCCCACATTCATTGTCCCACCTGCCCATCTGCCTGCGCAGCAAGCAACATCTAGGATCCTGCTAGGATTTTTCCTGCCACCCTAGAACCTTCATCCAGTAGCTGATGGAAGCAGAAGCAGACACCCACAGCTAAGCACTGAGCCAAAATCCTGGAATCCAGTTGCAGAGAGGGAGGAGTGATGAGCACAGGGTTCAAGACCAGCCTGGAGAAACCCACAGAAACAGCTGACCTAAAAAATGGGAGCTCACAGATCCCAGACTGATATCTGGGAAACCAGGATAGGACCGACCCAGACCCCTGAATGTGGGTGTCAGTTAGGAGGCCTGGGCAACCTATGGGGCCTCTGGTAGTGGATCAGTATTTATCTCTAGTATATGAATAGACTTTGGGAGCCCATTCCACATAGAGGGATACTCTCTCAGCCTAGACACAAGGAGGAGGGCCTAGGCCCTGCTCCAAATAATATGACAGATTTTGAAGATCCCCATGGAAGGCTTCCTCCTCCATGGGGAGCAGATAGGGTATGGGATATGTAGATAGTGGGGGCAGGGGAGGAGAGGAGGGTGAGGGAACTGGGATTCATATGTAAACAAGCTTGCTTATAATTTAAATAAAAAGAAAACTATTAACTCAAAGTGATATTGGACCTTAAAACTAAAACTAACAATCCAAAGAAAATGGATGTGGTTTGAAGAGGCCAAATGCCTCAGGAAAATCAGACACTGTGACTCATCCTCACTCTGAATGGCCAGCAGCCTTAGAAACAATTATTTTGACACAAAACACATAAACCCATATACTCAACACGCATATTCACACATTCCAAATCTTGTTTGAGAAATCAGAGGTAATATATCCAATGCAAAAATTAATGAAAGAGAGATTTAAAGCTTTTAATTCTGCATTTGGGGTACCTAGAAGAAGCCACCCCATCTTAACAAAAAGGAAAAGATTGAAAAAATTGTAAACTCATCAATTCTGTTTAGACCCATAGGAGAACATGACTTCAGAAATGGAGTGGCCATTTCTCTCAA